GCCTGGCTTCTACCACCAGGGATGCGTCTTTCCTCACACAGCCCCTGCACGCCGCCGGGAGCCCAGCTATATACCCCGGGGCAGTCCCGCCCCACCCACACCCAGACCCCATCCTCCCCTGATAGCCCCACCCCCACAGCGCGCAAGAGCAGCAGCAGCCGCCTCACGACGCCCCGCCCGGGCCGGCCGCACCTCGCACTGGAACTTCTGCCGGTTTTTGTTGCCTGCGGCGCGGATCTCGTAGGCCGGCGTCACCTTCCTCTTGCCGCACCAGGCGTACAGGAAGTTCTTCACGTCCCCCATGGCGGGGCCGCCCTGCGGGCACACGCCACCGTTAGCGGCCGCCACAACAGCGCACCCCTCCCAGCCCTCGCGCAGGCAGCTTCTGGGTGAGACGCAGCCTGGCAGCGACTGCGCACACGTACTAGCGCCGCCCCATTCCTTCCTCCCGCCCGGGACTGCGCTTTGCAGCGGCTGACCTGCGCCGTTATTCCCCGGCCCGGCTGCTATCACAGGTGAGACGCACGGCCCACCTAGCCCCGCAAAATGGCGCCCGCTGGACGCATGCGCACTGAACAAAGTGGTGGAGCCTGCCCGAGGGGCGGGGCGGGGCAGCGCCCCCAGCGGCCGGGGACCTGCGTGACTCCCACCCGGCACCGGATCCCCCACGCAGTAGTCAGGACAAGGGTTGAAACTCCCCGTCGGGGGCGCCTGTCTCTGCCTTGCCCGAGGGCACCCGGGCGCCTGTCCCAGGCCCCTCAGCCGTGTGATCAGAGGACTCCTGGACCTGTAGCTTCCCAGCAAGGGCCCAGCACTTGAGGGGCAGGGGATAGCACCAGGCGCTGGCAGCCCGTTGTCCCTGCACAGGACCCCACAGATTAGAGGGGCCTGGGCAGGAAAACTGCAATGGGCCTGGTGCTCTTTGCTGCTCCACAGGGGAGTGTGGCTGGCCATAAGGAACTGGCTCTTGCATTTTTGCTTTCCAGCCAGAGGTCCTGTCTGTCCGGGCCTATTTGGTACATGAGGAATCACAGCCTGGGCCTGCACAGAAACAGTTACCCTCTGTTTTTGGAAGGGGCTAGTAAGCATTCACCAGCAGAGTCCTTAGGACAACTGGAGCAAACAGACAAGAGCGAGGGTCAAAGACTAACAGTGAGTGCTCTGTGGGGGAACACAGAGCAGCGCGTACCACCAAGCACCCACTGGCTCTCCAATGAGTCCAAGAAGCCGGTGAAACTGCCTGGAGACGTGCATGGATGAGGGACAGAAAGATGGCCTCAGTCACCAGGGGTCCTCCTGGCCACATCCTTCTTCCTGGGCATATAGATGGCCAGCTCACCTACCTACGCAGGAGGCCTCTGCTAGGACAGGAGCACTCGCGTCATGCGGATTCCACAAGGGCCAGAGATAAACCACTGGGATTGAAGGGTCTGTATATTAACCTGTTTAAAGCTCTCGCTGCTTTAACTCTAATGAGTAAGCAAATAAAATAAGCCTATGCTAAAGACTCAACAGGCATCTGTCATACACAGGCTAGAGCTCACAATAACTGTACTGTGAGAGCTTCCAGCTAGTGTTGGAGCAAGGCCTATGAAGAGCAGATGTACACTGCTGATTTTCTAAAATAAAAAAAAATTAAGGAAATTAAAATCTAAAGGAAAAAACTTCAGGTTTTCCTTGTACATCAAAGTAGCCAAAAAAGGGGACAGCTCAGCTGTTAAATAGGCATTGGTCACCTTTACATGATGCAAAGAAAACAAAACTAAGTGTTACAGCTGTATGTAACCACACTGTTAGGAGTGCCAGGACTGAGACTACAGGCAGATGAAGAGGTGCGGGGAAATGCATTAGGGGGCACAGAAGCTGTGCCATGACTTGCTATGCAGAGACCACATTAGCCAGCACAGGTTAAAGTGCTCCTCTAGCTTGTAGTAGGAGCAGGACTAGAAATGGAAGAAGTATGAAAAGTAGTTGTGAATAAGTTACTATTGCCTTCTTACCCTTCTGCTACTCCAGGAGTGTCAAACATACTATAGACCACAAGCCAAATCTGGCCTGCAGAGCCAGGCAATCAGGCCCATTATCTTGATGGGAGACCTTTTCCTGGTAATATCCAAATGCCTAGGCAGAACCCATGGCATTGAGAGTCCCAGTAGTATCATGGCTTGTTCCCATGGCAGGTTGCTGGGCCTCTTCCTTCTAGGCCCCAGACTGGCTGGAGTGAGCGCCATGGGTGCTAGATCTGGCATGTAAGGGAGGCTCCGTGGGCTTGATCTGGCCCATGTGGCCATCCCCATGCAATTCATCTAGTACATGGCTTGGTTGTGCATCAGTCATTTGGCCTGAAAGACCAGATGTATTTGATACCACTGTGCTACCCCAAGCTGAGATAAAAAGTTGGTCTGGTTTAAGGTAATGCGATTGGGTGGTTAGCGGAATTATACTGAAAACCAGAACAAAGTTGGGTTTTATTATAAACCAGGGAACATAAGAAAAGCTGGAACTTGCTTCCTAAGCTTTCTCATTTTCTTACACAGAGTGAAAGTGCAGTGTCAATTTTCAGTCAATTCGGCAAAGTCCTGAGCACTCAACACTTGGATCCAAAGTAATACTGCATATGGTTAACTTCAAGCATCTGAATAGTCCCTTTTTAGTCAAAGTGACTGTCTCATTTTAAAGTGAAGTATGTGCTTAAGGGCTTATTTGATCCCAATCCAGGAAACTCAGCACCTGGAAGGTCAGGAGCCATATAGAGAAGGGGAAATAGCCACACACAAAAAAAATCAACATTTGAGAGAACAGAAATATACTAATACAAACTTTATCCTTCCAGCACAATGGCACATGCAAACCATTCTGGCTGACCATTTTAGCCTCACTATGCAAGGAACACACAGTACTTTATCTAGATAGCTAGGCATTTTAGAGAACTAAACAACAGTAATAACACCCTCGCTATTAAAGAAGAAACAGAGACAGATCGGAGGGCTGCTAAGCTAAAAGGAACAATTAGTGAAAGCTACTTGTGACCCTTTGCTATCTTTAGGTAAAAAAATAAAAGTGTATCCTGGATATACAATTCCTAGTTGTGCCTCACATACTGTATTCCTGGTTGGATTGATTTTAGATGCTCAGGCAGAAAATTACCAATTCTTTTTTGTTTTGTGGGGTTTTTTTGGTCAAAATTGAAGATGAAGGGGCAAAAACAGCCAGGGTAGCTTGGGTTGGCAAGCCCTAACACCAGCCAGTAGGACGTATTAAGCAAAGGTAAACAAAATTTAGGATTTCAATACGTCAGGAAAAGTTTCAATATCTTAACATCTGTTTTCATCCCAAATTGCAACAAAGAGTAAAAACAATTACTAACTTCTTTAAAAAAAGAAAGAAATCAATTCCTTACTATACACCTGCCTCTCTACTGCCTCACAAAGGGCATTTTTCCAAACCAGAAAGAAAACAGTGATGCAACTATTTTTAAGAATGTGTTTATGATCCCCAGAACCCACAGAAATATAATCAAAATGTTACACAAAAAAGTTCATGAAGAAACCCAGTTTAATGATTTGGTAGCTTTGTTGATTATCAAAACAAAAAGAAGTTACTTATTTCAAGTTCACATATTTAGATAGGTTATTTCTATATTACCTATTATTAAAAAGTGTCTTGTTTTGTAAACATCATTAGGATAGCAGTAACAAGATTTCCCATTAGAAATAATGTTAAAAGTAACAAAATAAAAGCTTTGGGAAAAACATTCTAGAATTATACTGAAAACCAGAACAAAATTGGGTTTTATTATAAACAGTAAATTATTATAAACAGCCTTGGGAAAAACATTCTAGAAATTTTCCTAGAATAGCTTTAGCTAGGAGTGTACATGGGCTTACTTTTACGTAGAGCCCTGTAAGGCTGGCGCTCTGCAGTCTTTCTCAAAGGAATAGTAGCACAAGAACTCAGTGCAGATGCACATACTCATTGGCTGATGGGGAGACCATCTCGCTTTCCATGTCTGACAAAAAAGAAACCTTATCTAAAATTTCTTATAATCTTTAGAAAAGCTTAGTCAATCATCTAACTCTACCTTGGCTTCTAAGTCTGTGCACCTCAAACTGTGGAAAGCAAAACTTGTATCACAAAAACTGCAAGCCTTCTGAATCTCCAAATCTCTCCAATTCGATTTGGACTTTTTAATGGGCCTCCCAATTCTATTCCGATTCGGAGATTTGGCTGCTAAATTGGGCCAAATCAAATCAGTTACTGAAGCTTCATATAGCCCTAGTAGGCAACCTCTTCCAGCTGCAAGCTAGAATAACCACCCTGAGTCAAAATCAGATGGGTAGGTGCTAGGACCCTGCTGCTACTGCCACTTGTCTCCACGGCAGCATAGGTGGAGCACCATGCAATCAGTGCTCATCCCCACAGTGACATAGGGAGATTGTCCACAGTCAAAGCTCCCCACCACCAAATGCTGCTGACGTCCCACAGCCACAGGCTGGATCCAAAGGTTCCATAAACCGGATCCAGTCCACAGGCTGTAGGTTGCTGACCCCTGCATCAGAGGGCTGAAAGTGCTTCCTGTCACAAAAAAAGGTCTTTGAATGTTTTGTTAGATGAAAGAGTGCAAAAACTAAGGGGAAGGAAACCTACAAAAAGAGAAATGTCTTCTGGGTATGAAGCTCTCAAAAATACTCCTGGTTTCCTTACCAGTGTGCAGTCATGGGTTTTTTAGGTTTATATAAAAAATGAGTGCATTAAAATACCAAGCTAGGCAGCAGGATAGTGTTACATTGAAAAGAGGATGCTAATGAAAGGATAAACACAGGAAAAGCAAAGACAGAGCTAGTTGGAGGGAATTCTGGTAGATGGAGATATGGAGATAGTTCTCTTCCCAGTTCAGAGAAACTCAGGAGTTCCAGCAAGGAATGTTTCTCCTCTGTTTAGGAAAAGCCAGATTCTTCTAACTCTAAGAAGCTGTTTTCTTTGGAAGATACCAAGCCTCTGCCCTATGGTGCAAAGGCAACTACTGTAGAGTTTCCCCTCCACATAAAGCTAAGAGAAAGAAGGTTAGTTATAGACCACCAAGGTCACCCCTGACAGAAAGTCAAATTCCCTGAAAAAAGTCGGTGCGTCCCAGCAGGGACATTCAGGTGGATCACAACAATGGAGAAAGGCCCCAAACCTCCAGATCCACATTAATATCAAATCACTTGGCTGGGTAAGTGGTGAGGAATGGTAGGCTGTCCAGCTTGGCTTTTGCTTTCGTGATAAACTCTTCAGAGGCACTCATGAGTGGAAGTCGTGGGGGACCCATTGGAATGCCAGACAAGGAAGTCACGATCGCTTTAGTCTGTGCAACACCGAAACCTAGGCGGGCAAAAGGAGAGCAGGTTACCAAACTATCATCCCACTTCAACATACACTACTAAACGGGGGCTCTAAAATATTAATGGAACAAACTTTTCAGCTTTTGTGAAATGGAGGACTAAGCCCTGGGTTTAAACACTTCTCAGCAGGGAGAATGGTGCAATCAGGTAATATCAGAAACCACCCTTATTTAGGCATACTCTCTTCCAAAAGGTATCCTACACAATATTTACTACATATGCTTACATTTCCAAAAGTAACTCTGGAAAAGTGGCTTTGCAGGGGTTTCCAGTTACTCTTTGTCTTCTGGATCAGCTTAGAGTTATTTATGTATTTAATACACAAACATTTCCTCTAACTCTCAACTTTGCAAACCCAAGCCAGGAACCCACAACAGACCTGGCTAGTAGGGTTGGGTGAAGCTTCGGTCCCTGATTCAATTCGGTGGAGATTCAGCCTGATTCAGTGGCTGAATCTCCGAATCCAAATCAAATCAGAGGACCCTTTAATCTCTCTGAATTGAATCAGAACCCCCCGAATCAATTCGGAGAGATTCGGACATAGACACAGTTTTAAATGTTTTTTCTACATACCTCTTGGTAGCAGGCGGCTTGTGAATGCTGCAATGCTGGGGCACATGGAGTGTCTCACAGAAGCGTGGCGGGCTCCCCACTGCACTTGGCAGCAGACCCGGGAGTAGACCAGAAGCACTTCCGGTCCACTTCCGGGTCTGCCAGAGCTTGTGTAGTGGGCCCCCCCATGCTCCTCTGGCTGGTGACTGGTGCCTCCTGGGTCTGGGGGGACACCCAGGGTTCCCCTGCAGCCAATCGCTGAGCTGGGAGGATGCGGGGGGGGCCCCCCCTCGCACGCTCCCCAGCAGACCCGGAAGTGGATCAGAAGTACTTCCAGTCCACTTCTGGGTTTGCTGCCGAGCACGTGGAGGGCCCCCATGCACTCCTGTGGGACGCTCCATCTGCCCCATCATTGCAGTGATCATGAGCTGTGCTGCTACAAGGTATGTAAAAAAACTTTTAAAGCTGTATCTATGTCTGAATCGCTGATTCTCTGACTCAGCATCGAATCTTCAGATTTGGATTCGGACAAATTGAAGCAGGGACAGTGATCTGAATCAATGAATCAAATCATTGTCCCTGATTTCAGGCCGAATCTGAATTGAATAGGGCCCATTTTGCACACCCAATTGGCTAGGTTTACATACAGGTTCTGAAACAACATTTTTATTTGACAACTTATTCATGTACAAATCAGAAAGAATCCACTCTTCCAAAGCTATCTTGGCTCTGCAGTGCTAGCAGCATAAAAAAAACTAGCAGTGGAGTAAAATATAGCTTTGAAAACATATAGGGAGCATTCCTGAGCTATAAAAAGTATTATTTTTTGAGTAATTTTTCTGCCCATAAAAGTGCATTAAAACTCTTGGGCCTGACTTTTCTCTCTCATGTACTTCTGCACAGGTGTAACTCTGAGGTAGACACAGTTACTCCTAAATTACAGTAGGGAAGGGGAGAAGAGCATCAGGTCCCTTGGGTTTATTTGTCAGACTAATTTTATTCTGTCTGGAATTGAGAACACCCCAAAATAATGGAAATAGAAAGGAGCTTGGGATGAAAAAATGCATAGGAAGAGTCAGGATAAGAAGCAAGCAAGCAACCTAGGGCACATTTTGAAAGCTGCTGATAGCTCAAGAAATGGCAGACATGACATCTACTCTGTATATCTTTCAGGAAGGAATTCCTGGTGTAGAAACCTGGGAGCGCTAGTGACATTCAGAAGCTTGCTATCCATGTGTTATGAGGGAAGGATGAATCTAATGCAGCACCTACCTAGTTTGAATACAAAGCTGAGGAATTCCCCAATACAGAACTAGAAGAGACAAAGACAAGAGTACTGTTATTCACTTCTTTACGTATACAAGAGACAGCTATTCAAACTGTATTATATACTTGTACAACAATAATATAAATACATATAACTAAGCAAAAGTCCCCCCTGCCCCCTTCCAAAAGTATAAAATGACCCAAAAGGACTAGGTTCACTCAGGCTATCACTCTCATTCAACCTGCTCCCTTCACCCAATAGTCTGAGAAGGCTGCTGAGTCTTGCACCACGCTCTGAAGGCCTACAACTCAGACCTCTCATTCCAGAGGATCCTTGCTAAACAACCAACTGCTTTAGCCGCTAGTCCAGGGGTAGGCAATTATTTTGACTGGAGGGCCACTTAATGAGTTTTGGTGAGCTGTTGAGGGCTGCACACAAAATCTTTCAGAAGATATCATTTTAACAAATTATAGATGAAAAACAAATTGCATACTATAAAGCAAACATCTACTATAACATATTCTAATTTTATTTTAAAAAATAATTTTTGTCCTGATTTATGTTTTTTGAATAGTGTGTATAGAAACAATTGCATAATAGCTCAAAATTAAGTCTTACTTTCATATAGTGGGAGGAGTGTGTGGGGGTGGGCATGTAGGCGGTTGTGGGTACAAGCATAGGTGTGGGGGAGCATGTACATGCAGGGGGCTGCCTGCACACTAAGTCCTGGGAGCCAGATGGTGGTGGGTGGTGGGGAAGAAGTGCAGGGGAGTGTGTACAGCAGACCTTGCACAGGCAGTACTGGTGCAGATGTAGTCTACAACCCTGCTCCTGGCCAGCATCTGGTCCTGCAGCACTCCGCATGTGGCCAAGCCCCACATTGTCCAGACACAACACATCCTAGCATCAGCCATATGCTCCTGCCAGGGGCAGCGTGTGCCTGCACTCATGCCCACCCACTAGCTCTAGATCCAGCCAGCATGCACGACTTCCCAGTGGGGCTGCTCCTAGTGTGGCTGCAGCTACCTGGGTACTGCTCAGCTTCCCCTGCCTCCAGTGGCTCTTCCTCTTCCTGCCATTGCTGCGCCACTCCAGGCACATGGGCGGGGGGGGCCGGCGTGCGCGCAGCAGTGGTGGAGAGGGGAGCTGCAGCCAGACAACTTCTGCCCCAGCATGTGTAGCTCCAGCTCCTGGCTACCTTTCAGCCACTTGGCCGCCTACAGGTGGCTTCTCATCACACCAGGTGGCCAAGTGGATGAAAGGTAATCTGAAGCTGAAGCCCCATGCACTGGGGCAGGATCCTCCTGGCTGCAGCTTCCCTCTGTCTGAAGCAGCACAGCAGGGGAAGGAGCAGGAATCACATGGGGAGCCAAGCAGTACGCAAGTGGCTGTGGCCCCACCCAGAGCGACCCTACCAGGAAGCTGTACATGCTAGCTGGGGCTGGGGTGTGTGGGTGGGAGTATACTGTGAGCTGTCCCAGGTAGGGGCAGGCTAGTCTCAGCCCCATGCAGAGTGCCACAGGGGCACCCAGGGGCCAGTTACAATCACCTGGTGGGCACCCAACAGCAGGCCGGATCTGGTCCACAGGCTGTATTTTGCCCATTCCTGTACTAGTCCGTCCTTTAAGAAAAACAAGGAGCTGAGGGGTTAATCTGTATGCTCCAGACTGAGATATGAAAATGGTACATCATTTACATATTGACTATACCATCACTCACATATCCTTCTTACCCTCCAATTGGCCTCAGTGTAAGAAGGGCAAAGGCACCCCAACCCAAGGAATGCTGCATAGAGAACCCCCATGCAAAAAGCTATTGCCTACTGTTAACCAGCAAGTTACTCAAAAATGGCTCCATCCACTCCCAGTATGATTTCAGGCAGAACAGAAATAGCTGCCTGGGAACAGTGTTAAAGAACACTGACATTTCTAAACTAATCAGCATGGATACCTGTTGATTCTTCTATACCAGAAGGAGACTGACCCAGGCAATCAGTGTCATTCCTATACCATGTACAGGCCTGAAACCAGACAGGCTGGTGTCTAGGAAAACCAATATTACAACAAAGACCATCATAACCTTCTCAATAACCTTGCCCTAGATTGGGAGCTTCAGCAGAGACAGGTGGAACTATTTCCTGAGCAAAAATCTCATTAGTGTCAATGAGAGTTTCTTGGACTTTGCTTCCTTCAGAGAAATTGTAGATAATTTCAGCCAGTAGTTGGCTAGATGTCTCTCTCCTGGCAAGCCAAGAAGGACCTGAGTCCAACTCACAGGCTGCTCCTCAAACCTACCATGCTGGGTGGTCACAACAGTCTGCTGAAGCAGGGTATTACATTACTAAAGATGCTATAGCTGTCTTTCAGACATGGAACTCAGTCTGAATTGGGCAGGAGAGCCAGGTGGTGTAGCCAGGTAGCCCAGACTAGTCAGAAGGGGCTGTGAATGCACATGCACTGGAAGGGCAGAGGGAGAAGGCTGGGTGAGAGGAGTATACACTGGAATGTGAAAAGGGCCAAATCCAAAGTGACCATGTGCATGCATGTGATTGGGACTAATCCAAACATTCCTGCCCATAGGAAGAAAAGAAAAACAGTATCTGCTGCACACATGGTTTTGATGGCTGAAGAGCAGGTTACCCAAAGGGAAGAAAAGCAAGCTGTGACTGGTTAAAACAAGATAATGCGTAAATGCCTAGAGTGTGTATTTAAAACATAAACAAATGGATTGCCTGGGTGCCAGACAGACTGGTTGTTGGTGGTGGTGAGAGAAACCGGTACAGTACAAGATATATAGGACATGGGGAAAACCCAGAGTGAAAGAATTAAGCCTCAATAAAAGAAGTTTAAGGGTGGAAAGAAAGGCCACCCCTGTTACAGATAGGTGGAGATGCCATACCTGATACTTCCTAGCTAAGGCAAAGTCCTGATTTGCATAAGCCTGGAACATCAAGTTGTTTGCTTGGCCCAAGTAGTTGTAAGTGCTGCCAAAAACCAAAGAGGAATCAATAAGCAGTGCTTAGATGGGCCATTGTGATCAGAGTAAGTTACACCCAGGTTTTGTAGCATAATGTTTTATTTTCAGAATGTAATCATTCTGACCTGGGGAGGGGCCAAGGGAGCTTGACATCCCTGCTGTAGACAAACCTATATTTGGATCTCATTTCCATCTGTGAAGTGGGGTACAATAGCACCCCCTCCCCCCTCACAAGGGCATTATGAGGATGCAAAAATACATTAAAGATTGTGAATGCTTGGACACTGCAGCAACTGGGATCCCCACCAGAGATACCAGGAATATATAGCAACAAAACATAAGAAGTACAAAAGAACTGACCTTCCAACTGCTCCAGTTGCCCCCACTGCCAGAGCACTTAACAGTTGCTAGTTGGTGAAAGACAAAGTGTTTTACTTCATATAATAGAAAAATAAAGGAAGTAGAAGCAGTAAAGGTACAAGGCATTACAACGTTTGGGATTAAATTCCACTCTGGGTGGCAACTGTTCTGACACAACACATCTTAGCATCAGCCATATGCTTTTAGAGTATTGCTAGAAGGGGAGGCCCTTACCTCATCCACCCCGTAGAGTAACAGAAATTGCTCCTTGTTATACTTGTCCATACACTGCGCAAAGTCCAAGAGGTCTGTGTCACTGTATTTCACGCCTTGGAAGGTGGGGATCTGCTTTTTTATTCCATCCAACAGGTCCTCAATACAAACTGCACAGAACACCAACCTCAAATGAAGCATCATACCTCAGTACCATGAGATGTCCCTGCTCTCCTCCCCAAAAGCATCACCTTCCCCCAGAGTTCACTTGGGCAGAGACAGACTTGCTCCTGTACAACTTTCTGCTTTGTGGTCCACATTTAAGAGCTTGGTTACTTAAACTGCTCTAAAACAAATAGTAAAAATATCTCTGAAATAAATGAACAGGTGAACAAATGCACTTGAGGATGATTATATCAGTACCATGATATTGTTCAAACAACCTTTGCACTGATACCTGCTCCCCTAGATCTTAGTTCTTGACAACAGCCAGGATTACAGTGATCAAACACACACCTCACTCAGCTGAACAGCTCCTATCATTTTGCTACTAGTGGCTTTCTCCCACCATTTTTCAGTTCCTGGCTTGTACATTATTTATAACAGAGGTATCAAAATAATTTGGCCCCATGGGTCAAATCCCTATCCACTTCTGACAGTGGGGCAAGCAGTAGCAGTATTAGCCACTGTGGATGTATTGGGAATGACGCATCACGTGATATACAGATGCATATCGTAGGGAGTTGGGAATTACCCACAGAATAATATATACACGTTCCCTGAGAACTGAATAGAAGAATGTATTCAGATTATTAGGAGAAACTTCCTCACCAGGAGGGTAGTAAAGCACTGGAACAGGCTACCCAGAGAGGTTGTAGAATCTCCATCTTTGGAAGTTTTTAAGATCCGGCTAGACAGAGCTTTGGCTGGGAAAATATAGTTGGGCATGGTCCTGCTTTGAGCAGGGGGTTAGAGTAGATGACTTCCTGAGGCCCCTTCTACCCCTAATTTTCTATGATTCTGTGATTGTAGATGAATGGATAAGGTGAAGGTACTTAACACATACCTGGAATGGAAAATGGTTGTCTAAGGACTTGTGGACTTTGGATAACTAAGGCCCCTGGCTGATGGAGGCTGGATAGTGCAAGCTAACAAGTTACATGCAGAAAACTGATGGAGTCTGAGGCAGAAGCTGCATTTTAGGGTAAAGTGCAAGGTAAGATCATATCTAATTCTTACAAGTCTTTGTTCTTATGTTTCTATCTGTCTCAATATTCCTGCTTTTAAGATTTCTCTTGTTTATGTAATACATCTTTTTGTTATATCTTAGACCTTACTGATCATCTGTGCTAAGGGGCATTTCAGAGCAACTGGCAAATACAGACTGGTTACTCCTACGGTGGTGAGGAATATTAATTTTACACAAAGCCAGATAAGGGTATAATTCTTTAAGCTGTCAAAATTTCCTTGACTAACTGGTAAGACCTGGCCTAGGAAGCTGGCTTGGTGGCTAATCTCATCTTGTTCTTAGTGGTCAAGTAGCAGACAGTGGAAAGAGGTTTGAGGCTGACAGATGCTCCTGAAAGTGAGAGCACCCTGATGTGGACAAGTGGTACTTACTCTTTACACCTGTTAAAGGAGGAATGTGATAGTAGTAAAATGGAATGTGAGGGGCTTCAGATGCAACTTCCTTTAAGAAAGCAACCAGGGCATCTGAAAGAGAGAGTGAAATAAAACAGTCATATACTGAGTCATGGGAAGGAGGTCATTCCAATGAAGAGGACTTCAGGTTCACAGGCTTGCTCTGGGGAGCTGCCATTGTCCCATCTCTTTGCACTCTGCAGGCATATTGTACAGGAATTAAATATTTTATGACCACTCTAGTGGTCCCCACTGCATATGTTTCAGAAGTCAACAATACCACAACATGTATATGCTCTTGGCTTTACTTATGGTACTTGGTTAGAAAACATACAGCATTTAATCAAATACAAGATGAGGTTTTTTTTCCTCCAGCTGGCATGGGGAAAAAAGCCCCTCATCTTACATTTGCATACAAGGAAATCTCACTAAATACACTGTCTATCATTAACCTGCTGTCAAAAGCAGCATGTGCTCAGTCATGAAAACTAACTATAAAGTTGATTAAATACAGTCAACACTGAGCGTGACTATAAAACAGGGGCTCCCAAACTGTGATACATGTAGCACTGGGGGGTACACAGGAGAAATTGTGAAATGGCAGATTTAATTTTCATTACAATGATTGGCATTTAAGGAGTTAAAATATAAAACATATGCTGTAAAGGATACGCAGACAGCTGGTAAATCTGGAAGTTGGGTCTGTAAAAAGAAAAGGTTTGGGAACCTCTGCTATAAAACACATAGCCCTTGTGGGACAAACAATCTGATGGGAACCTAGCACAAGGATAGTAGTAACCCATCTGAATAAAACTTAATGGTGGGGCCCATTAAGTGTAGTCCCCCACACCACCAACTCTTTTTAAGTCATGGTGAGCCACTACACTGCATACATTTTTACTTCCTCTTCACTCCCACAACTGAGCTGTGCCTTTCTTTCCCATTTCCAATGATTCCTGTTTCTACACCAACCTTAAATGTCTGGCAAACATTACCAAATGGGGCCCCAAACAGTTCAGGACCCAGAGGCCATGCAGGACTACCTGCAGGAGCTCACCCAGATCCTTGGGGGGTGGGGATGAGGGCCAGAAGCTGGTGGAGGAGTGGACACTGGAGGAGACCACAAAGACTCCCCACAGCTTAAAAAATTATAAGACTCCTGGGACAGAAAGCTTGCTCAAGGAGTTCTACATCACCCCCTGGGACCAGGTGGGTCCAGACCTGCTGAAGGTATATAGGGAATGGCTGCAGGAGGGCTACCTGGAGGCAGGGATGGATCAGGGCCTCATAACCCTTCTTCATAAGGTGGTGAGGGAGGATTTGAAGAACTGGGAATCCATGACTCCTGGGTCAGACAGCTTGCTCAAGGAGTTCTACATCACCCCCTGGGACCAGGTGAGTCCAAACCTGTTGGAGGTGTATAGGGAATGGCTGCAGGATGGCTACCTGGAGGCAGGCATGTATCAGGGCCTCATAACCCTTCTTCATAAGAAGGCGGTGAGGGGAGATTTGAAGAACTGGGAACCCATGACATTCCTGAACTTTGACCATAAACTGATGGTCAAAGTCTTGGTTGAGTGCTTTAAGTCTGTTACAAGTGCCATGATCCATGAAGAAGTCATGCACAGTGCCAGGGTAACTGATCCACAAAGCCATGCTACAACTGCAAGACATGCTGTAGTACCAATGGGAGAGAGTGCGGAACACAGCCATGCTGAATCTTGACCTGGAGAAAGCTTACAACAAAGTGTCTCACAGGTTCCTGTTAAAGATGCTGAAGAAAATGGTGGTCCCCCTGACCTTCATCGCTTGGATAAAGATGCTGTAAACTGAAGTGAGGAGCAGGGTGCTGGTGAATAGGTTGCTGACTGCCCAGATCGCACTGGAGTCAGGCACCTGGCAGGGCTGCCCATTTTTCCCCAATCCTGTTCATCTGCATGACAGAACTGCTAACCCGGTAGCTCAGATGAGATCCTGGGATCAGCGGAATGAAGATCCTCATGGGAAGTGAGGCAGAAACAAGGGTCCTAGCCTACATGGATGACCTCAATGTCCTGTGCAGTGACAAGTAGTCAGTGGAAAGAGTGTTACAACACACCCAGGTATACAGAGCAGTGGCAGGGGCCAAGCTCAATGTGAGCAAGAGTACCTGCCTGGTACTGGGTGAACTCGGGGACCTGCCGGCCCTGGGAGTCTCTGTCCCACACAAGGTGGTGAAAATCCTTGGGGTGGAGTTCAATCTGGAGCTGAATGGATAAGGTATGGGAAAAGACTGAGGCCAAAGTGAAGCAGAGACTGGGACTATGGAACACGCATCACCGGTCAATAGGGGGGCATGTGGTGCTCATGAGGATGGTGTTGCTACCAGTGCTTATGTACATCCGGTCTTCCCCCTGCCCCCAAGAGAAAGTTGTCCATAGTATCCAAAGAGCCATGTGCATCTTCTTTTGGGGCTCCAGATGGGAGAATGTTGCAAGGACCACGCTGTACAAGACTAAATGGACAAGGCCTGTGCTAAGACTTGCAGCAGTTTCAAGAAGAAAAAAGAGGTAACATGCATCCATTCTGGATGAACTAAATGCATGGGTATTACATGCAGATTGCTACAGCCGTGTTTAATGTCAAAGTTATTGCTTTCAAATTTGCTCCTCATTTCCATGTGGACCAGACATTTAAACAAGACTAAATGTTTAACAACATTCTCCTGTTCCGCTACGCCAAGTACATGGACCAAATCTGCAAACTGTCAACTGAAGCAGATTGTAAAATGGCTTGTTTTATAAGATAGTTTGCAGGGCACCTGCTGTAATAGTGGTACACACCACTAAAAGAACACTTCCAGAGCAAATACAAACTGCACAAAAAGGTTCCAGTGACCCTGGCCAACCACCATAAGATGCAGGATGTGGTAAGGGTAAGGGACAAGACTGTCACACTTGGATATACTACTCAGCAATAGCTGCCAGGCCATGTGACAGCAAATCTTCCACATAAACCTGCAGAAGGAGCATAAAGATTTGAACTGGCAGGTAACCCACTGGGCATTCCCCATGTTGGCACCGAATCACAAAGGAAGGCAGAGGGGCCCACTGAACTGCACCAGGCAAACCTACTGGTAGAAGGAGGAAACAATCAACCACCTTCTCTGGAACTGCCCATACACCAGAGAGATGTGGAGGAGAACAATCATGAGGACACGATGGTAACAGGTTATGACCCTCACCAAAGAGGCAGTGCTGTTTGGACACTTGACCAAGCAGCAAGGCACCCTTACAGCTTGTTTCAGCCAGTTCATCTGCTTCAGAAGTACCCTGTAGAAGACCAGGAACCTGCTCATGTACAGGCATACAAACCTCCCATGTAAGGATTGTATCAGAATAGGAGCGAGTGAGCTGCAGGTGTACTACAGGAAGGCAAAACAAGATGACAGGGAGAAGAGTAGAGGACACATGGAAGAGAAAACACTGGCACAAACTGTGCAGAGGTGGGACAACTGGAGAGGATAACAACAATGATGATGATGACAGTAACCAGTGAAAGGACTGGGGAAACAGGCATGGATTTGGGAGGGGGAAGAGGGTGCTGAGGCAGTCTTCTACATGATTGGATTGGGCAGAGATAGGGATAGACATGTGGGCAGTGGGTGCACGGTTATGGCTATTGTAATGGGGATGACGATGGTTTAACTGTAGATGTGTCATGGACTGCCAGGTGAACTACTGAGACAGAACTGTAAAGATACAGTGATTTTTTTTGGTGAAAAAAAAAAAGGTTTGTTCTACATATAAGCAGGTGCCAAAATGCTGCTCAAAAGTGTGTTTCTGGAATACCTGTGCTAAAACTTGCAGTAGTTTCAAGAAGAAAAAAAGGTAACATGCATCAATTCTGGATGAACTAAGTGCATGGGTATTACATGCAGATTGCTACAGCCATGTTTAATTTCAAGGTTATTGTTTTCAAATTTGCTCCTCACTTTAATGTGCCCAGGGAGAGCAGGGCAGTAAGGAAAGGGGGAAGAGGCTGCCAAGGGAAGAAGCTGGGGAGAAGCAGAGAGCAAAGGGGCTACCTGACCCCCCAGATGTATTTTCCCTGCTGTAGCAGTGGGAGAGAGGCAAATTCAAGGCAAACCTCTAATAGTTCGAGTCTATGTGGCAGAATGCCACCTCTGTCTCTCCCCAAAAACTCTGCTGTGACAATTTGATTAACATGGTCACCTGCAAAGGGCAGACATCCCATGGGCTCTAGGTAACCCTAAGGTGTAACCTGAGCTGAATACATTCCAGAGGAAGGGGGAAAACCTGCTCCCTCTGCCTACGTGACTGGCATCACATACCTGGGTGGGAAAGCTTAAGCTCCCTATTGTTCTAAGCAATGCCAGCCTGACTGGGAAGGTGCTAGAGACCCTGCCAGTCTACCCGGCAACCAGTGATGCATTTCAAATTGGTTGGCTGGCACCCAACAGTTGCTGGCCTTCATTGGATCAGGTAAACGAGGTTATAAGGGCTATATAAGTGAAGGACTGCCCAGAAGGAGGGGCAGTAGCCATGATGAAAAAAACTCAGAAAGAAGCTGGATCATCTGAAACTTGCTCTCTCTCTTGAAACTCATGAGCAATGAACTGCTTACCTCCAGAGGGAATCCCCACCTGCCTTGCGATGATACGTGTGAGTAAGCTACCTGAGCTCTAACTAGATATATAGCTTTCAGTAACTCAGTTGCGTGATCAAAGGCTACCCAGCCACCCTGCTCACTCTATGGGATTTCTCTGATATTGCTCTACTCTGTACCCTATTCCAAACCTACTCCTTGTAACCAATAAAGTTCTCCTTTGTACCTAGCATGGGAGACTTATTGGGAGAGGGTCTAAATTATGCCTTGGGATTCCCTTGGTTCAGTGGACCAAGGGAGACCACTATTTGTGCTTCAGACCAAGGGAAGCACCCCAAGTTCTTGCTGTGAGTCAAGGACTACTAGGCCTGTGTTTCCCAGGAGGCACAGAGCCAGGATCAGTCCAGACCCTGGGTGGTGGTGGCGTTGCCCCCAGACTAGCAGGTGTCCTCCAGGAAGGAGGTGGGCCAGACGTGAGGCGCCCCCAGGGAGGCACTTGGAGCCTGGAAGGTGTGTGGCTCAGCACAGGAGTACTCACTAATGGCCCACCAGTCTACACCTGTAAAACTATAACAAAATTGTAAATATTCCCTAACTAGAATCTAATTATTGGGCAGTCATCTTATAATCAGGGCTGTCTTTGAGTAAATACAATAATTATTTGTGCTCCTATAGTTTCTTCATTTTGTGAATGTCGTGCATAAATCAAAACACCACAATAAATTGTTATATTTTCTAGTAATATGATACACACAGAACCAGGAATTGATAATACCTGCAAGGCTCAGAGGTGTGTCAGTTAGAGGCTGATCAGGCTTAGGCTATCTGGAAGGGGTGTGTGAAGTGGGTCCTATTCGATTCGGATTTGGCCTGAATCAGGGGCAGTGATTTCATTCGTTGATTCAGATCATTGTCCCTGATTTGATTCTGCTGAATCCAAATCCAAAGATTTGATGCCAATTCGGAGAAACAATGATTCGGACATAGACACAGTTTTAAAAGTTTTTCTATATACCTTGAGGTAGCACGCATGACTTGTGAACACTGCGATGCTGGGACACATGGAGCGACCCACAGGAGTGTGGGGAAGTGGGGGGGGGACCTCCACGTGCAAACCTGGAAGTGGACTAAAAGTACTTCCGGGTGCACTGGGGAGCACGCTGGACTCCCCTCCCTCCCCTTGCTTAGCAATTGGCCACAGGGGAACCCCAGGTGCCCCCCCAGACCCAGGAGGCACCAGTCGCTGAGCTGGGGGGACATGGGGGAGCCCCCTGCATGCTCCCTGGAAGACCCAGAAGTGGCTTGAAGTGCTTCTGGTCCACTTCCGGATCTGCTGCCGAGCATGCTGGGGAGTCCCCACGCCTCTGTGAGACACTCTGTGCGCCCCAGCATCGCAGCATTCAGGAGCCTCTGCTACCTAGAGGTATGTATAAAAAACATTTAAAGTTGTCTTTATGTCTGAATCTCCAAATTGATTCAGAGGGTTCCAATTCGATTCAGAGAGGTTAAAGGGTCCTCTGATTTGATACAGATTCATAGATTGAGCCACCGAATTGAGCTGAATCTCTGCTGAATTTAATCAGGGACCGAAGCTTTGCACAGCCCTACTATCTTGCCCAGAGTATATTGCTAATACTCTTGAGTGTTCATGAAACTGATAAAGAAAAGCATCTCACAGAGTCTGACAACCACAGCAAGTCTACTCACCTTTGTTTTTAGGTTTAAAAAAAAAGGGGGCTATTGCAGAGATGCCACTGGCTCCTATTTCAGCTGCATGTCTGGCCTAGAAAGGAAAAACAAGAGGTATATATATATATACACAGTAGATGGTTTTCACATATATAGAGGAGAGGAACCATATTGATTGTTACATTCCACAGCTATGAATGAAACCCTAAGAAAAACGTAAGTTATGAACCAAGTCAGATCAGAGGTCAGCGTGAGTTGTGCCAGTTTACACTGGAGATAAATTTAACCTTTCATAAACAGAATGGACTACATCCATGTCTAAGCACACTGTACCTGATTAATAAATAGTATCCCAGGCTAATAGCTTTTATCTTCCCTGAAATAAGTTAGTGTCACTGGCTCCATTGTAAAGATAGGGAAAGAGAGACCCAGGGATTCAGCAGCTTGCCTGCAGCTACTGTTGTAGAAATCAAGAAGAGCTGGCAAATCAGCACTTGGCTCCCTAAGATTTTTTTAAAATCCCTCCTTCCATTTATTTACATGACCTGGATTCCCATCCTTCCCCAAGCAGTTACCCAGGAAACAAGTGAACTTGGACTGAAAATTTCTCTGCCTCCTTGCCCCTCATATAATTTCTGAACCACCATGGCTACAACATCACTTTTACACTACCATATGCATGTACGCATACACAGAGGCAAGGGATAGCCAAGAAAGAGGAGTGGGAGGGTCTGGAAGACTCACAGGAGATAGTGAAGAAGAAATAATTGAGAAAAAAAAAGAAAGGAATGAAGGGGAGATGTGGAGGAAGCCAGGAAAGATATGTTATATTCAGGGATCTAGATACTACCGGTAGCTAGTACTTTTGGGTTGCTACTGAAATGTACAATTGATCTAATTAACTTTTCCTAATCCACCAATCACTGTAGTATTTGCATGTCACTAGCACAATACTACTAACCCTCTTTGCATTTTCATGCAACTTATGCTGAATTGGGGGATTTGTTTGTGTAGGACAGCAGTAGACCTTCAGTCACTTATATTTTCAGGTTGTCACCCTTTCTCCAGAAGCATCCTGATTTTGACAAGAGATTCTGAATCCTGCACACCTACCCAGCAGCATGTTAAAGAATCCCTGAGACTCTTCAGGACGTAGCAAACACCATAATGCAGCAGTACTAAAGTGACATCAGGACAACCACCTCATGACAAGCTGATAGACTTCCAGGAGGGCTCTTCCAAGCTTATGTTCCTTAAGTTAACTGTTTAACATAAACTTTCAAAATTAGAAACCTTATATTAAACCTGTCCACAACTGGAGTACAGTTCAGGGCAGTGAGGCTGGCCTCTCCAATTAACTAACTCACAGTAGCCTTACCATCCCAGGGTAGCTGGGATTTTTCCTAAAAATGACCCATGGTAAAGCCATTAACATAATTTAAATTATTACTGTGTTTTCTGGCATACAGCATGCCCTGGAATATGCACATCTTGTTTTTGAAAGGCAGAATGAATACATTTCCCCCCCCCCACAGAGTTATGGCCATAAAGAGCAGGGACACAGTCTAATCTTCAGGTGACTCGGCCTCTTTTTCCTGATTAGGTTGTGAAATAGGAGGGGAGAGATTAGGAGCAGGTAGCAGACAGCAAAACTGCCCTAATAAAGGTTAGCAAGATTAGTGGAACACCAAAAGCATGAAAAAGGAGAAATAATAAGAACCATTAAATCAACTGACTGCCTTAACTGCCTAAATTTTTATACCACAACTTCTGCACTGTGGACGAGGAATCAAAGCAGGGTGCTTCTATTTCAGACAGCAGATTAGCTTCTCTGATTAATGCAGTTACCCCAATTTTGGGGGGATAATTTTGGAGGTGGGGAGGACCAGGTGAGTGCTATATGCAAGAAAACATGATAACTGTGTTATTGAGATGAGTGGATTAGTTCACGTGAGGGACACCAGGTAACTTTCAGATGGGTTTCTTTACAACTAAAAACATGATATATATATATATAAACCCACATTGTTTTGCATTTATTCAGCACTTTGGACAAGGAAGTCTTTGTTCATGATGGGGCTCCAATAGTAATACCTTCTGCACAGTAACACCACCACCAGGGAAATGTTGGTAAAGCAAACCAGCTCAATCTGATTAGACTCAGCACTTGTGTTCTCAAGAATTAAGAAGGTCCCCCAAGATGGAGAAGAAATGGTAACTTGCATGTAAACTCAGGGGGAAAACAAACAAATACACAAACAGTAAGATAAAGGAAAGGGGTTAGGAAAATATCATATACACACACCAGTTCCTTTGACTCTGGTAGACTTAATGCTCCCACGTGAATGATCACATGTTCCAACCTGTACAAGAGAAAAAACAAAGAATTATGGCAGTTTAGCATTGGTGAAGGGTACCAGAGAATTTGTATACGAAGCCCAGTATTTAACCCAGAACAGGTATTTCACAGAGCTGTTAAAACTAAATGAGATCTAGAACTAAAAGTGTCAACACGTGACAGGAAGATTAGTCCAGCACCCCACTTCTTACTTCCCTTCCACGCCCAGGTCCTGATGCCATAATATAATTCCTAGAGTTTCTGCCTTACAACAGTACACTGATCTTCCTAAAATAGACGCTCTCCAGGTTCTCTTCTGCCTTGCCCCTAGTGGAGTCAGATTTGTACATTAGGGCTGTGTGAAGCTTTGGTCCCTGATTCAATCTGGCGGAGACTCAGCCTAATTCGGTGGCTGAATCTCTGAATCCAAATCAAATCAAAGAACACTTTAATCTCTCTGAATCTAATCGGAACCCTCTGAATCAATTAAGAGAGAATTGGAAAGATTTGGACATAGAGAAAGTTTTAAATGTTTTTTTGACATACCTCTAGGAAGCAGGGACTCGTGACCACTGCAGTGCTGGGGTACATGGAGTGTCCCACAGGACTGCGGGGGGCTCCCCAGCACGCTCGGCAGCAGACCCGGAAGTGGACCAGAAGCACTTCCAATCCGCTTCTGGGTCTGTTGGAGAGCACACGGGGGGGTGGGGGGCTGGTTCCCCTACACCCCTCCGGCTCGGCGACTGGTGCCTCCTGGGTCTGGTGGGGGCATCTGGGGTCCCCCTGCAGCCGATTGCTGAACCAAGGCAGCATGGGGGGGCCCCCCTGCACGCTCCTCAGCGGACTCGGAAGCAGACCGGGAGTAGTTCCAGTCCACTTCTGGGTTCGCCACTGAGCATGTGGAGGGCCGCCCTGCATTCCCGTGGGACGCTTCATGCGCCCCAGCACCGCAGTGTTCATGTGCCACGCCTGCTACCTCAAGGTACGTAGAAAAATTTTTTAAAGCTGTGTCTATGTACAGATCGCTGATTCTCTGAATCAGCATTGATACTTCAGATTTGGATTTCGCCAAATTGAATTAGGGACAGTGATCCGAATCAATGAATCAAATCACTGCCCCTAATTCAGGCTGAATTTGAATCCAAATCAAATAGGCCCATTTTACATACCTCTACTGTACATCTCTGTGAACAATTCATGGTGCTTGACACCACTTTACATAGATAAAAACGAATGTGCAGAATACCTATCATGTTCAGCAAATTCGGAGAGCTAATCTTAAAGCTGGATAAAGAAACACCCATTATTTTTTCATGGGAAATGTCATATATTTTTAACAAGAAACTAAACCCAGATTTCTCTTGGGAACATACAAATCACACACACTCTCCTCATCCTACCTTCTGAAATATTTTTGTCTTCTCGTTTCTGCCCTGCTTCCCAAAGAATAATCCCTAAAATGTAAAGCCAAATAAAAACTTTCTGGCAAAATGTTTGTTTTGTTTTCACTGGTACAAACCAGTTCACATCACCTACATTTGACTGTCTCCCCACCACTATGAGGACTGCCAATTCCCTGGTTGCAAGGAGATGGGAGGAAGGAGCTGGAGCATTCCCATCCCTGCCCAAATGTCATGGAGCAGGAGTAGGGGGAGGATGCAGAGGGGAGACAAAGCCCTAATTAGTCTCCCTCCCTGACTGATTTCTCCCACTTTTACCTACATGAGTATGATGTGGCCTAAGATCTATAAAATGCTTCCAGGTCTTTGTGTTGTGCTAGCTGATCGATATTCAGCTTTCTGGAAGCTGCTCCATACCTGCCCAATCCTTGGTATTTCATCAAGAACATCATGCAGCATGCTCTATGGGAGAAGGCATCCTTGGCCATGTGTGCCCATATGAAATGTAAGGCAAGTAGCCTTGTCTATTTCAGAAAATTCATCCTGTGCTGATAATAGGGGTCAGCGACAGGTTCAGTAAAACCAATAGTGAGCATGGTTTAAATTCAGTGTGACCTATGGCCAGCCACACACACAGCCATTTTACAAACTGCAGTGTACCTTCTGCACCTTCCAACAAAACAGTTTAACATAGGCCCAGCTGCATTTACTGCTGAAACCACCCAACAGCAGGTAGTTTTCTTAACTGGCAGGACTTATAAGTGCTGTCTCTCTCTCCCTTCCCTCTTACTTCTTACTATTCACACCATTCCTTCATTCTACAGAGTCATCATCTTGCCTTGCTAATTCTGGGCACCACATTTGTTGCCACCTCCTTTGGCCCATTGTTTTTCTTACTTTCTGTGTCCCTTCCTTCTCTTTTCCACACCCCCTGCTTCACTTTTGGCACGGGTGTCAAAGAGGGCAAAGATAAGCAGTATCAAACTATAAAAGATATCACAAAGGGAGGACAGAATAGTGATTAGGGGATTGCAACTTGGGTCTCTGAAGACCTGGACTTACTGTGTCACTCTAGGCCTTGATTCCACATCTAGAAAATGGAAACAGCTGCATTTCTTTACCTCTCAGGGGTGTTGTGTTCAATATATATACATATATTGAAAGACTGTGAGGTGTTGCAATATTGCTTTTACACAGGCCATGTTAGTGGAGATAAAAAGATTTCTTGTGTCACATCACTCATTTCTTTCACTATTCCCAAATCATTCTAAAAGGACATCTCCCAAAATATCCTTCCTCCCCTTCACTAAAGGAATGGGAAGAGAAGACCCAGAAGCCCTACCAGGAGTGGAAAAGAAGTCAGTGATTCATGGAAGGCTGAGTCAGACAGGACTACAGTTATTTGTTTTGACACTTCTAGCAACATCCCGATAAAGGGGCTGGGGAAAAAAATAGGGGAAGTAACTAGAGGATGTGACTTTGCACAATTAAATCAGATCTCTCTGCTTAGCTAAGCAGTTATATTTAGGCAAACAGAAATGTTTCCCCAGAGATGCTCACTTTTTTTTCCCTTGATTCACCCATTCTTCTGCCAGCTGCTTCCTCTCCTGCGAGCTCAGCGCCAGCCCTTCTCCTGTTGTGCCATTCACTGTTTCAAACAGAACACAACACACTCATTAAGGTCTGGCCAACCTGCAGAGGCTGTGCCAGTTTTATTCAAGGCAGATCTTTACATTTTTCGAAAGCACTGATATAAAAAAAATGGTTCCTTTTATTCTATCCTGTACAGAACTGGAACTTTGGGCAAGAGCAGATCCTATAAGTTTAGATTACGCTCTCTTTCACCGAAAAGCACATTTTTATAATACTTCCATCCCCTTACTCCACCCCGTTTTGGCTGACAAGACACAGTACATCTGTATCCCATAAGAAGAGGCACAATGTAATTTCTAATAAAGACTTACCAAAAACATTTTTCACTCCCTGCTTATCTACCAGGTAATCCACATACTGACCAATCACAGACAGGTTAATTTTTCTGAAATAGAAGAAAATAAAAAAAGGAAAGGCTATAAACAACATTTGTATTGAAGGAAGCCCTGTCCAAGTCCAAATGCTAGTACATTTCTCCCTAACACATTGGCAGGGACACAAGTATAGATTAGACCAAAATTCTCACATGCTTTCATTAGGATGTAGGGGAAACTCTGTACATGAAGCATCTAATCAGGATACTAGGGACTGAGACTGCTGAGTCTAGAAAGTGTGCTGTACATCAGGGGTGTCAAATTCATCTGGCCCAGAAGCTGGTCTGAGGGCCAGACTGGGACCAACCCCCTGTGGAGTAGCTATGACGCTAAGTCCAACTCACGTGCCATACGCAGCATGTGCCAGCCCCCAGGGCTGGCATAAGGTACACACTGCCTGCTGCCCACAGTGCATGGGCTGGATCTAGCACTGCAGACAGCACAGGGCATTGGTCCAGGGTACTGCATGCAGCCTGTGCCCTGGACTGTCTGTGCCACCTGCACTGCCAGGTCTAGTCCATGTGCAATGGGCACCATGCATCCTATGCTGACCCTGGGGGCTGCATACCTGGGGGCTGCACAGCAAGCCCTGCGGCCAGTATGTGCTGCCCGACATGTGCTGAACTAGCCAAGCACACTGCACACAGCAGGGGCTGGCATGGGGCATGCATTCCAGGCTGACCAGGCCCGCATGCTGACTCCAATGGTGGTGGGGTACTTTGTGGAGCATGTGGCCCATGTCAGCCCTCTGTGCCATGTGCAGTGCATACAGCTGTGCGCCACGTAAAGCATGCACTGGCCCTGGGGTGTGCTGTGGCCTCTGGGGCTAGCCCGGGCCATGCCCTTCCCATAGTGCATGGGCTGAACATGTTACTGCACATGTCCCATGGGATCCAGGGCACAGGCTGCATGAATCCAGCCTGCATGCCACATGCAGTGCACAGGGCCAGGGCTGGTGCGTAGGCTCCATGGGCCAGTTCCAGTCTGCAGGCCATGTCTGACAGCCCTGCTGTACATGAAACCTAATTTGGGGTTTCTGGAGCAAGAGTCTAAGCCTAATGAAACATAAACCTAGATGTCATTGTTCTGTCATTGCTACAGGGTATTAAACACTGTATTTTTCCCCCGGGGTTTTAATGCATACACTTTAAGATTTCCTAATTCTTCCTCTCAGTCTTGACCCTTTTAAATCCTCTGCCGCAGTGGCCAAGCAAACTGACTCCTGGAAGGAGGTAACGAACATAGGTAGGAACCTACTGAAATTACAGCAAGAATGCACTATGCAGCAGCTAATTTAATCTGGCTATTTTCACAGCATGCCCCACCACCCCTCTTGACTGGCAGAGGAGCCCTGGTGGCCTTCCTGCTGATCAGCCAGGAGGCAAAAGCCACAGTTTTAAAAATGCTAAGGTTTTTGCCTCCCAGTTAATCAGCAGCAAGCAGCAGGACCATCAGGGCCCCTGCCAATCAGGGAAGGGGGGAGGGCATGTGGCAAAAATAGCAAGATTAAAGAAGCCGCTGCAGGCATCAAAAATTCCTAGGAACATAGAAGTGGAAGGGACTTCCTGGGTCACTGACTTCTGTCTCCTGCTATTGCAGGCAACCACATCCTATAAGTCCATTCACAAACTGATCAAGCTTCATGGTCAAACTCATTACAGTTTCTGACTCCACTTTTTTGGGAAGCTGTTCCAGAACCTTGTTGCTCTGATGGTTAGAAACACTACTTCTCCTTTCCAGCCTAAAATGTATTCATGGACAGTGCTTACTCATTTGTTCTTGTCCCAACACTATCCTTTACCTTAACTCTGTCTTCTCCTTCTATGGGGGTTCACCACCACCAAATTTACAGTTAACAATCAGATTCCCTTCTCAGCCAAATAAGCCAACTTTTTGCCTTCTCTTGCAAGATACATACTCCATTTCCCTGATCATCCTTCTCTGCATTTGTTACATTTTGAAATGATCTTCCTTATATGTGGCAACCAAAACTGAACAAAATGTTCCAGATTATGTTGTAAAATGGCTTGGTATATCTCTATCTCTACTGGAAATACAGGTTTCCCTTGCTTTATGCTGTACAAGCATTCCTGGAAAGTGATGCGTAGCTCAAATTTGCATAAAGGGAACCCACTTTACAAAGTAACAAATAGGGATACATTCCAAGACCTCAACTGTACTGGCCCCAAGACCCATTTCTACCACTTTTACAAGACAATTTTGGTACTCACCAACAGCAGACAGTACACACAAGCACAGTGTGATGGTACCATAATGGGGATGGCAACTACAGAAATGTGTTGCAGATAATGAGCGAGGAGCACAGATCTACACAGGAGACTATATTTTGGTGCGTATCACTCCCATAATGCACTGCACAAAGCAGCTGACTGCGGACTTCCACCACACCAATTGCATAAGAGTAAATTTACCTCATGTATGACAAATTTTGGTTTAAAAAGGGTCATCGCGTAAGAGTGAATTTGGACATACACAACACATAAAGCGAGGAAAACCTGCACCTTCTTTGATACAAGGTGGGACTGTTTGCCTTTTCACATCATATTGGAGACTGACAGTCATGCTGTGATCAACTATTACCCCCAGGTTTTTCAATTCTTCCTCATTTCCAACTGAAGAACTCCCAGCTTATAGCATTAATTCATTTTATTATTCCCCAAGAGCATGGCTTCAAACTGGGTACTACTGATTTTCATTTCAGTCCCGACAGGGTTTGTGCAGGCAGCTGACGTGAACAAAATGAATTCTAGGAAGTCTTTTTAGGTAGTCTTTCAGATATGAGTGCAAAAAAAATCAATTCACTGTCTCTTATTTACTGCTCTTTACAAATGCAGAGATAAGATAGATTGAACTGAATTCTATTCTTTCTTCTACATCAACAGAACTGTTTGCAAAATTCCATTAATCTGTGCAAACTTAGGTTGGCTCAGGCACAATGGATTGTGCCTGTGTCAACAAAGGATAATTTGTCCTTCAGAACTTTTATTGCTGGTGGATACATGAAAGAACAGCTTGTCTCCAAACCAGGCTGAGTTTGAAGAAAAAAAGGCAAGGGGAAAAATATTAACTTAACTTTAAACTGAGCATGCTCACTACAGAAACCAGAGCGAAACATGGAATTGTATGGCTCAGAACTGGTTAAAAAAATGGTGAAAATTTTCCCTTTCTGAAATATTTTCACCAGCTCAGCAGTGATCCATTTCTGCAGTCACAGAACTAAAGTGAGACCAGAGACTGGTTCCAACATCCTTAGTCAAAGTCTTTCTCACCCTCCCCACCCCTTGGTATTCCACTAGATGGGTCCAGGCTGCCCAGTCCTGTGGTGTTGCATTTCATTGGTTTGTATGCCTGTTGCTTGTAGAGCACTTAGAAGTTATTTAAAAGAAGGTCACAGTAAAAATATTATTATTCACAGCTTCCCCTCCCATTGGATTCTTGGATACTCACCACCTAACCTCTCCAAGGGATGGAATGGGCCATGGTCTTGGCTCAACCACAACTGAGACAAAACAAACCACTTTCATCTGTCACAGAATATGTGTGTTTCTCATACTGTATGTTGTAGCTTAAGAAGCATTAACACTTGAATAGGATGCTCTTAAGTCATGAGAAAAACAGCACAACTCCTGATTCACTATCCTCTGGGAATGGCGGGGGGGCACATAACAACTTACTCTGGCAGTGTAAAGAGACTGTAAAGAAGGCAGGCAACATATCCTGCATCCCAACAGTCTCTTTCCAGCCAGCATAGGCCTGACAGTAAGGATTCTGCACAAGTTATGCTCCTGGCCCCTTGTTTAAGTTCCCTTTGTGAGTCAGGGAGCTGGGGAGACCAGAACACACTATGACTATTCTCTGCTTCCTGAGGACATATGGAAAGGAGAAACGAACAGTTCTGTGGTTATCCAGTTTATACCAGGAGCCAAGAAGCCCCTGCATTAACGAAAGACGTAGATGGCTTAAAATCATCTCTGCCTTTCCCACCCCATCTCACTGTCCTTCTTCAAATGCAAAGATGGGGTGACAGAGAATAGGGGCCTGAGAGTCAAGATTTCTTGTTCCATTTCTAGCTCCACTACACAGAAGCTGTTGGACTCTGGGCTACTCACTCAGACCCTGATAGTTAGAACTGCTGAATGTCTTTAACTACAGTTAAGGAGAATTGCATATGCTCAGCAGCTATAAAAATCCAGCCAGTGGCTTCTGCATGGCAATTTGTTAAAATTAGGGTAATAATGCTTCTTCACCACATAGGTGTAATTAGCTAGTGGTCGCAGAGTGCTGTATGTGCCTCCCATGGACATGGCTTGTATAACTGCACACAATTTCAAGGACTAAACAGACAGCATTTGCACAAGTGTTGACAAGTACCCAAGCTAGCCTTCATAATCACAGGATGCAACCTGCTAATAACATCTGTCAGACGTTACCTTGACCCCTCTCTTTGCTTGCACAAAGACAGAATAGGCCAGGCTGTGTTCCACTTGTGACAGAGTGAAATCCTGAATGCTTTGTTTCTCTACAACCCCAGATCACATCTACTTATTTACAAGTCAGAATGCTTTTCCCCATTCCCATGCCTGCAAACTTAGCCTGAGTTCTGAAAATCTAGTTGGAAAGATTCTAACTTGTACTTTAAAGACTTTATAGTAATCACTTGTTACACAAATGCTGTGCTAACAAATGCACAGCCTGGAATAGAATACCAGTCACTCTCTCACTACTGTCACACACATATGCCCCATGCTGTATGCTGGGGAGGCCAACCTGGGGTACACGTCACAAGTGGCACAGGCAACCTCTGTGTGGCACACCAAAAAATTAGAGCTGGAACAGGCAGCATTGTGGCAGATAAGGCAGAAAGCAGAGCAGCAGATTGGTCAAGGAGCCCAGGGCAAGAAGCAGAAACAGAGCAGAAGATAAGTAAGGGAGAGGAGATTGGAGTGGCACTCAGGGAGGATGTAGGGCTAATTTGCAAGATGCCTGCCAAAAAGGTTGAACCCCATTGCTCTGTGTCACCCATCACAGCTGGAATGGTAAAAATGATTAGAAAATTGATTTTTTTTTCAATAAATAGTTGTAGACAAAGAAGTAGAGAAATAAGGGTCTGGGATAAGAGATTACAGTACATTCATTCGTTGATTCTGTTAAAAGTCAGGATCATAATGCTTCTTCAGCACACAGGTATAATTAGCGTTAACAGGGGCTTGCCAATTTTGACAGCATCCCTTGTGCTGGTCCACGGTAATATTTACCCATCTGAAGTCAACGGAGTGACTGTAGCTGCCACAAGACCCTGCAACTTCTTTTGGGATGCCATTGCGCTGTGGAGAGAAGTCAGAAAGAGACAAAAATATCTATATATTCCTTTGTTGACAGGAGAAGCAGATTCCGAGTAACCTCTGTTAATGACAAAACTCTACAGTCAAAAGTCCAGAACAAGTGGACTTCACACATTTCTTGGTGGGGGAAAGGGAAGAGATTGTGTGGAACTTGAGAAAAACAAGCAAATGCAAGTACGTATATCATAGCAGCAAAGACTGAGCATGGGGGAAGGTAGCACCCAGTCTAGGTAAAATGCAAAGATGTTTTACAACATGTGTGTGCATGTGCATTCAGTTCTCTGTGTGGGTGCACACATCTGCAGTTCTCTGTGTCTCCATGTGCACGTGTGCTTCTCTGTATGTGCACATGTGCATGTTTCTCCATGTGTGCATGTGCTTGTGTGTGTGCACGTTACTCCATGTGCGTATTTCTCCGTATGTGCATGTTTCTGTCCGCATGTGTGCATTTCTCCATGCAAGTGCTTCTCTGTGTGTACGTGTGTGCATTTCTGTGTGCATGTGTGTTTTTCTGTGTGCATGTGTGTGCGTGTCTCCATGTGTGCATGTTTCTCTATGTGCGTGTGCATGGGCGAGTGTGTTTCTCTAGGTGTGTGTGTCACTGCAAATCACACCCCCCTGGGGCTGACAGCACTTCCACTGGGTCTCTGCTTGAAGCAGAAGTTTTCTATCAGCCCTGGGGTCAAACCCCTCGGTGCGGACCCGGGAACAAGGCAGGAGCCCCGCACCTTAAACAGGACAAGGCAGGGAGCGGGAAATGGCCCGCACCCTGCTCGCTTCCCCAGTGCAGGGGGTGCCCAGGCCGGACCCCAGCGCTCGGGGGTGCGGGGGAGGCAGGTGAAGTCAGGACCAGCCCGGGCGCTG